AGATAGATAGATAGATAGATAGATAGATAGATAGATAGATAGATAGATAGATAGATAGATAGATAGATAGATAGATAGATATGAGGGAAGTCAGCTCCACAGAGAAGGAAATATTAAAAAGGCAGCCCATTTGCCTAGGAATAGATCCTGCTTATCTCTCTCCAAGTCATTATCTTTCCTGTCCATAGTATCATTGGTGATAACATTTCACTTCCTGGATAGAGAGGTCAACCTGGAGAGTTTCAATGCTTGGAAAAAGATTAGATGAGATAACCTTTATGGTCATTTTTTTCCTGTGGGCCCAACGGCACACATAAAAAATGAAATTGAGTTGCTTCTTCTCAAAGCGTACACATACAAAAGGTGTATTATTACCTCAATTTCTCTTCCACCAATTTACATTGGGTTGGACGCCATGCCTGCTGACGTCACCCTGCTTTTTAAAATATTGAACAAAAAAGACGGATTTTGAATTATTTGGTAGCTCTGTGTTCTAATTCCTGCTTCCTGGTCATCGTGCAGACATATTTTTAGAGGTCTCCTACCATTTGTTACACAGGTAAGTCCTCGACTTATTGAGCCCCAAATGTCGATTGCTAAGCGAGTTTTACCCCATTTTATGATTTTTTTTGCCACTGTTGTTAAGTGAAATCACCGCCGTGGTTCGGTTAGTAACACCGTCGTTAAGTGAATCTGACTTCCCCATGGACTTTGCTGATTAGAAGGTCGCAAAAGTGGATCACATGACCCCAGGATGCTGCAACCGTCATAAATATGAGCCAGTGGCCAAGCGTCTGGATTTTGATCACGTGACCCTGGGGAGGCTGCAACGGTCGTAAGTGTGAAAAACGGTCGTAAGTCCCTTTTTTAGTGCCGTTGTAACTTTGAGCAGTCACTAAATGAACTGTTGTAAGTGGAGGACTATCTGTAGTTTATACCAGGGGTAGGCAACCTTGGCTCTTTTATGACTTTTGGACTTCAATTCCCAGAATTCCTGAGCCAGCCATGCTGAGAACAAATGGAGAGGTTTCCATGCTGAGCCATGCTGGCTCAGGAATTCTGGGAGTTGAAGTCCACGAGTCATAAAAGAGCCAAGGTTGCCTACCCCTGGTTTATACTAAGCCAAGACTATTAGTAGAATCAGTGAAGAAAAAATACAAATCTTTTTGGTACACTTTAGCTGTTTTTTGTTATCTTTCAGATGTTAGCTATGCGATCCCGGGTGACTTTGCGTCTTTTCCACCCATCTAAGTCACCATTTAAACCTGATTAATTGTCCGCAGTCACTGCACTAATTGATAAACGGAAAGATAAGATTTGTTTTCTCTGTTTTATTGGGATGAAAGTCACAAACACGAACCCTTTGTTGGTCTAACGCAGGGGTCTCCAAATGTGGCCCCTTTAAGACTCGTGGACTTCAACTCCCAGAATTCCCCAGCCAGCCATGACATATATTAATCGTCCACCACATTCTCACTATCTATTAAGAAAATTATCCTGTCAAAAAAATGCAGTAAAGGTAGTCTAGCCACATTTGTTCTTATCCATGCTGGCTGGGGAATTCTGGGAGTGGAAGTCCACCCATCTTAAAGCATGCTGGCTGGGGAATTCTGGGAGTTGAAGTCCATCTGCCTTAAAGCATGCTGGCTGGGGCATTCTGGGAATTGAAGTCCATCCGTCTTAAAGCATGCTGGCTGGGGAATTCTGGGAGTTGAAGTCCACAGGTCTTAAAAGGGGCCACGTTTGGAGAATCCCGGTCTGTTCTAACCACAGGACGAAAAAATTTTTTAAGAAGGAAACCGGAGGCAGACACTCCATCACTTTCCGTCTAACAGATAATTAGATAGTGCCCATAATCCCCAACCGGTAATAATAATAATAATTTTTATTTTGCGGTCACAGACCAAAATGCAAGTGCAACGAAAGAAAACACAAGAAAAATATGATCACAAACAATGAAACACCAGAAGCCTTGGCTAAAGGGAATTACAAGGTTCTCCTCTAATAGTTACAGCTCTTAAAAGAAATTTAGAAACCTGAGAAGTAATATAGGGGGAGCCATCCCCTAGACCAGGGGTAGGCAACCTTGGCTCTTTGATGACTTGTGGACTTCAACTCCCAGAATTCCTGAGCCAGCATGGCTCAGCTTGGAAACCTCTCCCTTTCCCCTCAGCATGCCTGGCTCAGGAATTCTGGGAGTTGAAGTCCACAAGTCATGAGGGGGCCATAATTCCCCCATGCTGGCTCAGGAATTCTGGGAGTTGAAGTCCACCAGTCATAAAAGGGCCAAGGTTGCCTACCCCTGTCCTAAGTCCTCCTGTTCTAAGCGGTGAGCCTCCTAGACCACGGGTAGGCAACCTTGGCTGTTTTATGACTCGTGGACTTCAGCTCCCAGAATTCCTGAGCCAGCATGAGGGAAACTTTGGCTTCTTCATGACTCGTGGACTTCAACTCCCAGAATTCCTGAGCCAGCATGGGGGAACTATGGCTTCTTCATGACTCGTGGACTTCAACTCCCAGAATTCCTGAGCCAGCATGGCTCAGCTTGGAAACCTCTCCCTTTCCCCTCAGCATGGCTGGCTCAGGAATTCTGGGAGTTAAAGTCCACCAGTAATAAAAGAGCCAAGGTGGCCTACCCCTGCCCTAGACAATATAGGACCAAATTACTAACATTAGAACCAGAGGGATCAATTCCAAGGAGAGACAATAATTTAATTCTGGCTGTGTTATACATAGGGCAGTATGATAAGACATGCTCCACAGTTTCAACTTCGGCCCTATCACAGGGGCATAGTCGCTCACTATACGGGAGCCTCTTAAATCGCTCGTCGAGTAGTGCTGAGGGCAAGACATTGAAACGGGCCAAGGAAAAGACTCTTCTATACTTGGGGATGGTTAAGAGTATAGAAATATGAAGCCATCCTCAATCCATAATTATTAGAATGGCTGAAGATCAAAGGGGAGCAGGTTTTGTTGGCTCTGGCTCTTAAATATATTGCAAATCTATGTCCACAAGCCGTTGGACTACCCTAAACTGGGCGTCCTTGAGACCATCATCTCCCAGAGCATCCCCCGTAAAACCTAGCAAGTGGCGTTTCTTCGTCAGCTCCCTCTCCCAACGAGAGGTATGAGAGTCAGCAAACACCAGGGAGAGGTAGCTACCAGGGGCTGCCGAAAAGAGCACCCGAAACCAGCATTTGAAGGTGGTTAATCCACGCCATGCATTCGACTGAACGAATGCCCAGTTCCAGGTAGATCGAAGCAAATCCAACGCAGGGAATCCCCAACTGGGGTTTCCCACGAGAGAAAACAGAAGAACGAGTTCCCGGAAGGTTGAGGTTTAAACTTTGTCGGCTGGAAGAGAGTCAGAACTGCGTGCGAAACTCTCCATGCCCTCCCGGAGGAGTGAAAGAGTCATGCCTCTTGGGACAGCGACACACACAACTCCTAAGACAAAACAACAGCAACAAGTTGTCCGTCAGCCACCACCCTTCCTTTGCGTATCGCAATGTTTATATTCATTTATTAGTTTTTTTTTAATTCCGCTTGTATTACTCTATAAGTAAGGAGGCAAACATGCCTGATATGCCTTCCTCCTATGGGCTGGGCTGGGCTGAGAGAGAGTGGTTGGCCAAAGTCACCCAGCCATCTTTCATACCTAAGGCGGGACTAGAACTCACCGTCTCCTGGTGATTGGCCCAAAGTCACTAGTCGGCTTTCATGCCTAAGGCGGGACTAGAACTTACCGTCTCCTGGTGGTTGGCCCAAAGTCACCCAGTCGGCTTTCATGCCTAAGGCGGGACTAGAACTCCCCGTCTCCTGGTGATTGGCCCAAAGTCACCCAGCCGGCTTTCATGCCTGAGGCGGGACTAGAACTCACCGTCTCCTGGTGATTGGCCCAAAATCACCCAGCCGGCTTTCATGCCTGAGGCGGGACTAGAACTCACCATCTCCTGGTGATTGGCTTAAAGTCACCCAGTCGGCTTTCATGGCTAAGGAGGGACTAGAACTCACCATCTCCTGGTGATTGGCCCAAAGTCACCCAGTTGACTTTCATGCCTAAGGCAGGACTAGAATTCACCGTCTCCTGGTGATTGGCCTAAAGTCAGCCAGCATCTTAAATGCCTGAGGCAGGACTAGAACTCACTGTCTCCTAGTGATTGGCCCAAAGTCACCCAGCTGGCTTTCATGCCTAAGGCGGGACTAGAACTCATCGTCTCCTGGTGACTGGCCAAAAGTCACTCAGTCGGCTTTCATGCCTAAGGCGGGACTAGAACTCACCGTCTCCTAGTGATTGGCCCAAAGTTACCCAGCCAGCTTTCATGACTAAGGTGGGACTAGAACTCACCAGCCCAGCTTAACCTGGCTGCGGCGATTGGCTTACTCGATCGAAGTAGATCAGCTTGATTGAATGGGTTGTGTGAATAGGGACACTTGATCCTTTTAGTTACCCTCCTTCAGGCCCAGACCTGGAATCCTTAAACTCAGGGGATGCTCAGAGGGTGGAAGGGTCTAAAGTCCCATCATGCACAACCTTTTAAGGATACCTAGCGTGCTGACGTCGCGAATATTGCGGCTTTCGTCATCAAAAAAGAGCATTTGATGAAACGGGATGCCACTCTGCTGATTCAACCTGGAGAGGAGACAAGCCAAAGATAGATCAGAGAATCACAGGTCTTCTGGAAGGCACTTCAGAGGTCATCTAGTCTGACCCCCTGCTCAAGGCGGGAGGCCTTGCACAAACCTGGTTTAAATGGTTGTCCGGTCTAGAAAAGGTCCTCAACCATGATCCCACCCTCCTATTCTTTGGAGCAGTGCTTTACTTCGACTCCCAGAATGACCCAGGCAGCAACGTTTACAAGTGGTTGTAAGTCAAGGACTATGTGTATTTCATAGGGCAGGCCCTGCAAGAGGCAGGGCATGCTTGCTTGATCCTTCAAGAATGATCCTCAAAAGGGATCTAGAGCCCCCACCCAGATCTGGGGGAACACAATGGAAATAGATGACGCCACATAAGATTTACATGCACGGTTAATATTATTTTAAAAAAAAATTTTTTTACTCAATTTTGAGAAGGCCAGAGAGGAGACGGCGAGAAAAGGTGAAGATGGGTTTTGGATTTTACACCAGTCTGCCCCCACTGCCCCTCCCAACCCCCAAATCCAGGGGGATCAACCAAGACCCCAAAGTTTCTTGTTTTACCTTTGGAAATGGGTGATTTTACTGCCAGGGTAGATTTCTGTGTAGCGAAAGTAGGGATTTAAGTCGAAAAGGTCTAAAAGTTGTCTGGCTCCTCGGATCTCGCCTGTCCTGAGAGGTGAAAAACCAGACGCTTGAGATCCCACAACAGGGACCAATTTTCACCCCAAATAGGGCATGTTCTCACAACACTATTACTTAACTCGGTTTGCTAAAGGAAGCCTTTGTTTTGAATCCCCACCTGCACTCAGCAAATAAGCTGGGATCAGCAGAAGCCCTCCTCCTAAAACTAGCTGAGGTCAACCTAAGCCATGCTAGCATGTTGTTGAAGAAGAGATTGGAGAACCATTTCTCTGAAATGGAATAGGGTTTCCTGCCTGAGCAGGGGGTTGGACTAGAAGACCTCCAAGGTCCCTTCCAACTCTGACTCTATTCTATTCTATTCTATTCTATTCTAATCTGTTCTGTTCTGTTGTTCTGTTCTATTCTATTCTTTCTGTTTTCTATTCTATTCTATTCTATGTTCTATTCTATTCCTTATTTCTATTAAATTCTGTTCTGTTCTATTCTATGTTCTATTCTATTCTATTCTGCTCTATATTCTATTCTATTCCTTATTTCTATTCTATTCTATTCTATTCTATTCTATTCTATTCTATTCTATTCTATTCTATTCTACTCTACTCTACTATATTCTGTTCCTTATTTCTATTCTATTCTATTCTGTTCTATTCTATTCAATTCTATTCGATTCTATGTTCTATTCCATTCCATTCCATTCTATTCTACTCTACTCTACTCTATTATATTCTATTCCTCATTTCTATTCTATTCTATTCTATTCTATTCTATGTTCTATTCTATTCTATTATGTTCTGTTCTATGTTCTATTCTATTCTATTCCTTATTTCTATTCTATTCTGTTCTATTCTATTCTATGTTCTATTCCATTGTATTCTATGTTCTATTCTATTCTACTCTACTCTACTCTATTCTATTCGTTATTTCTATTCTATTCTATTCTATTCTATTCTATTCTATTCTATTCTATTCTATTCTATTCTATTCTATTCTATTCCCCTTCTCAAAGCTTCTTGGTCATGAGCAATGCAGCTACCTGCATGCACCCTCATGTGTAAAACAGGGGAGTCCAATCTTGGCCACTGTAAGAGCTAAGGACTTCAACTCCCAGAATTCCCCAGCCAGCATGGGTTGTAAGTGCAAGGACTGATTCAAAGTAATTTTTTTCAGTGTCCTTGTAACTTTGAACGGTCGCTAAAACAAATGGTTGAAAGTCTCCCTGCAAACCAGAAAAATGCCCCAAGGCTAGGACTGTACAATTAATTCACCACAACGGGTGTGTACAGAGGGGTGTGTGGCCTATATCAACGGGGAATGTTTTCAGAGAACAAGGCCCAGAGTTACCGAGAGGCAGTTGCCATGGCGATCCCTTCGCTCTGCAACTGCTGCAGGACTTCCGGCACTTCGGGGTAGAGATTCACAGGCCGCTTATTCCGGTCTTGGACCGAGCCGTCACTGCGAAGAATTCGGACAGGAAGTGGGTTAGCTCGTTTCCCAGTCAATCAGAAGACCAAAAAAAAAAAAAATATTACAGGTAGTTCTTGACTTACGCCCATAACTGGGATTCCCTAGCCAGCACGGGTGGACTTCAACTTCCAGAATTCCTTAGCTACCATGGGTGGAGTTCAACTCCCAGAATTCCCTAGCAAGCACGGATGGACTTCGACTCCCAGAATACCCTAGCCAGCAGAGATGGACTTCGACTCCCAGAATTCCCTAGCCAGCATAGACTTCAACTCCCAGAGTTCAATAGGTAGACTTTTCAATTCCATTCAATTCAGGCAGATTATTGATTGATTGATTGATTGATTGATTGTGCTGATTTAGGAATTCTGGGAGTTGAAGTCCATCCATTTCAAAATTTCTGTGACTGAGAAAAACTGTTTTAGATACTTGACCCAATTCCTGTTCTTCGTTTTTTTAAGGAAGGGGGCTGAAAAATTAAAGAGGACCGCTACTATTTTTGCAGCAACAGACCCCCCCTTATTTTTTCTCACCTCTTTTTCTGGAAGGGGGGATCCACGTGGGTGTCCACCCAAAAAGGCCACAAGGTATAATCTGCAAAAAAGAAAGACACAGAGAGGGGGGGAGAGGGAGGGAGAGAGAGAGAGAGAGAGGGAGAGAGGGAGGGAGAGGGAGAGAGAGGGGGAGGGAGGGAGAGAGAGGGAGGGAGAGAGAAAGAGAGAGGGAGAGGAGAGAGGGAGAGAGAGAGGGAGGGAGAGAAAGAGAGAGAGGGGAGAGGGAGAGAGAGAGAGAGGGAGAAAGAGAGAGGAAGGGAGAGAGGGAGGGAGAGAGAAAGAGAGAGAGGGAGAGAGGGAGAGGAGAGAGGGAGAAAGAGAGAGAGAGAGAGGGAGAGAGAGGGGGAGAGGGAGGAAGAGAGAACGAGAGAGAGGGAGGGAGGGAGAAAGAGAGGG